CATATTATTATTGTATGCAACAAATGCCGGACATAGTTCTTAACAATCGATGTATGTGAGATATGTCACTCTTTTGACCGATTAGTCATGACAAAAGTAGCATTGGAGGATTAACAAATTAAATAAGATTAGAAGGTTATTATATTATTATTAAGTCTTCAAATAAAAGCCTACTCAATACTGTATAAATTTATGTAAAATATCTGATAGTTAATTATTGGAGTGTCTTTTACATATATATAATTAACCGGATAAATAAAAAAAACGAACAAGGCCTGTTGTAGTAAAACAAGTGCTGTGGACTAAGATTAACTATAAGAAGTTGTGGATTAAGATTAACTATCAACCTATAAGAACAAGTGCAAAAATATTATAAACTTTAAATATTTATTTTAAGGAATCAAATTTTTGAAAAATAATAAATATTTAAAATTAATACTGATTTTAATTTGTTAATACTTACAACATTAAATGTTCAAGTCCATAAGAATCTGGTTAGGAAGAAAATAAATGAAGAAATAGAGAAAGAAAAGAAAAAATAAATACAATTATCATTAAATGTAAGCGACCTAATTGTAATGAAAATATCACTTCAAAAATTTTAATTTATTAAAATAAATATTTAATAGCTCTCTAATAATACGAAAAAGACCAATTAAAAAATATAGAACAAAATATCAAAATTTTGAAAGAGAAAAAATAAATAAGCGAGTCACCGACACAATAAAAGCCTGACAAATAATGGAATAATAATCTTCTGCAGAGAATCGCAATTCTCGGAATCCTGCAACTTAGCTACATCATGACATGATCTGGAAAATAATAAATTCATAAGAATATTTTGTTTTCTTTTGAATTTGAACAAATAGTAATCATAGTTTAAAAGAACTAAATGGAAATATTTTTCTGAAAAACAAATCAATCCCTTAATCTGAACTAACATAGCTCTCTGCGAATTCACTAAATAAAATAAAAAATGAAGAAAAGGGAGAAAAAGAAAAGGCTTATCTTGTGGAAAAATCACTTGAAGGTGAAGGAAAGAACATATTTGAAAGACCTTTTGCTTGTGATAAATGACATTAATGTTGAAATGATCTTACTTTTATAAATATAAAACTTGTATTCTAAGAAGACTTTCACTCACCATTGCATGTGGAAAAAGTGCATAGTAAGTGATGTGCAGAAATAGGTTTCCATTCCCCAATTAGGTCTCTTCCCGTACCTTAAGCATATTTTTAAGGTGATATTCATCATTTCCATGTTTCATACTTCAACTTTAACTAAAACCCACCATTTTCTTATACTAGATCACTAAACATATATAAAAGAAATTAGAAAAAAACATTTGCAATTCAAAAGATTTATAACAAAGTCAAATATTAAAACATGTATAATTGAATCTTGATTCTTTTATAATCTTTCATAAAGAATAGAATTTAAAAAACATGAAGATCATCAGTACAATTGAAGAATAAATTAGGAAATTAAATAAATTGTATTTTTATTTAATTGCAAACAATTTATTTTTATTTTTCAAGTTATTTTTGGACCCATTGTTATTGAGCTTTCTTTTAGAGTTTCTTAAGTGCCTTAAACATTTGTACTTATATATAGGGACATCAAATACATATGTAGACACTTTTGGAATCATAATATATGCATTTGCATTTTTGAGAGAGGATTCTCTTGGTTATTGGTTTAGAACTCTAATTCTTATAAAAAATTAACATCTTTTTGGTGAATCTTCCTTTACTTATCAATTTGCTAGATTGTGGCGTCCTCATCTCCGTCTTATTCTGCATTTTTTTCTAATTTATTTTTATTGTGTCCCTAGAGGACTCATTCATAAAAGATTATACTCTTTTTTGGACAAGATCGTATAATCTTCTTTCTTCCCTCACAACCTTGCTACACATAATTAGATAAACCAATTATACAGAGAAACAACTTAGAACATTTTAATCACCTAGATAGAATTTATGCAAAAATTTAAACTGACTATGTGATTGTTATTAAAAGGAAAAAGAAATATTTCAAAATGTTAATGAAATAGTTATTTTTATTTAAAGTTAAATATAGTAACATTTGTCGTAACCATGACTTAAATGCAAACAAATTTAAAAGCTTTAAAAATATCACCATTGTAATGTGCAAGGAAATTAGTTTGAAGTGAAAGAAGAGAATATAGAAAGCAGGTTAACTAAGAGATGAGACTGAGAGTTTATTCTCCAAAATGGGTATTAAATTGTTTAGTGTAGGAATAATATATTTGTCATTTTTTACATAAATTGTTGGAAGTTCAACGTCGACTAGAAATAAGACCAAATTATAATATATAAGAAAGGTGCAAACCTTACCTTACAAGCTGGTTTTGTGGAATTGAGTTAGACTTAAAACTCACTTTCTAATATGGTATCAGAGCCAAGTTAGAGTCTATCCTAACAATATTTATTGTTTCTTGGACATTTATATTTCACCCGTTGTTGAGCTATTATCAGACCACGTGAAGGGGGTGTGTTGGAAATCCCACATCGACTAGAGATAAGATCAAATTATAATATATATATAAGTGAGGTGCAAACCTCACCTTACAAGCCAGTTCTGACATATCAATCGTGTTAATTATTTTGTTAGGAAGTTTTCTAGAAAATATACTCACTTAAGTAAGAAGAAACTAATAAAATCAGATATCTTTCTTGTAATAATAGTTTAAGAAACAACTTTAGAAATATAAATTACCCGTAGAATTAGACCGAAGGACAAAAAGAATAACTTTTATTCTTCTCCTATTCTTGCATTTATAGTTATCCTAATTCACATGAAAATAAACGTTTAAAAAACATATAAGTAATATATTTTAATTAACAAATCATAATAACATGAATAAAGTTTAACATACAATAACTACATATAGACCACATATGAATTTATATATAAATATGCTATATATAGATGATGAAAAGCAATAAAATGATGCAACAAACGCATTAACATAAAAAATTAGGAAAAAAAACGTGTTAAGGTAAACGGTATTAAAATGAAAAATCAAATGTAAAACATTCTTGAAAACATAAAAAATTTGACTAAGACACCAAACATCAAAAGTAGTTGAATCAAAGTAGGAAAAACGTGTCGTTAGTAAGAAGATTGAAAATGAGACTAAAGTTACGAGAAAGAAGTTACATGCAATAACTATAGCAGAACGTGAAAACAATTTAAATATATGTGACACGATGGAGGTGATTTTTATTAGTTACTTTTATTTATGTATTTTGTTTTATTTTGTTGTGTCAAGTAACTGTTAGAACAAGAGATAAATATAGCATAATGAGAATGTTGCGAATATAAAAAAAAAATGATAAAATGAATGTTAGTGGTAGCAATTTGAGTGAGTGCTCTCTTCTATTTTTTTTACTTGTTAATATCTTATCATTTATAATTTATTGTGCAATTTACATTCCTTCAAACCCTTCGTCATCATTCTCTCTTCATTTATCATTCTTCATTTTGTTTTAATTTTGATCCCTCCATCAACCTATCATTAACAATAAAAAAAACATTAAAAATATTATCATTAGAAAGAAATGCATGATTTATTGATTATAAGCAATATAATGTGGAATCAAGTGAATTAAAGATATTTGTGGCTTTGATCCACTATATAAGTGAATTAACTGTGAAATTTGGCCTCATAATGAATAGATAGAACACTTAAACACTTTTAAATCAAATTTAAAAGTACTATATGTTTGCTAGTCGCTGTAAATCTAGCACAAGATTTTATGAAAAATATAAATAATTTTCCTTACATACAATATTTTTTTTCTCAAACCAACTTAAATACCAAACAATAATCCAAAATATAGAAACATAGAATAGAGCATCCAAACATAATCAAATTTTAATATGAGTTTGACCGAGTTAAAAGAATCATTCTTACAAACTGATCTCATTAATATTGATGATTAAATTAGAAGAAAAAAAAATCTTTAGAATGAATGTGAATTTATTCTCTTTATAAATTTGATCACTTAAAATTTTGTATTAACTTTTAAACTATGATGATACATGATCGGATTTTGAGAAAAAAAAAATACAAAATAAGAAAACGACATATGTGAAAATAAATTTAAAAGAAAGAGAAGCAGGAGAGAATAGGAATGGCTTTGCATCCATAATGAGTAAGTTGAACAAATATAATTTATTTGTTTTAAATGAAGCAAATTGGATGACATTTTTAATTTTCCCAATTGAATATCCATTTTTCTTATGTTTTGAATATTCATTTGTTTGAAATTCAACAAACCTACCGACGACACAGCATAGGCAACGGTACAAAAGCATAAGTTCTATGTCCTTTGTGTTATTACACATATTCCCCTCACATATAATTCTATCATTTTCCAATTTGCAATCAGACCCTTCCACAACCAAATAAATTATGCCCTAAAAATATTAAAACCAATTTAAAACATGTGGAAGGGATATTTAGGCCATTTTGAAGCATGCGCAAAAGCTAAAAATAATAATGTACCCAAACCAAGGCCCACCAAAAACAGTGTAACACGTTGATTGAAGACCAGACCAACGTAAGCACGGAGCCAAAACAACAATATAACAAACAATACTAATTAATATAATAATAAGAAAAAAAAAATTTCAATATAATAATTGTTATGTGATGTTAGAACCATGTCTTCATCTATACGTGGTGATATAATTTGATATTTTTTACTAAATTGTAATTTTAGCGCCTTTTTAATTTCTTTTCAGCGATTTGTTTTTAGATAACTTTATTAATGTGGGTGAATAAATTAATTGACTATTTTTAATGAAGTTTCTTCTTTAATAACTTTGAAACTTCAATTCAAAAGATCTAATCTTTTTGTGTCATACATATAGAGAGTGTAATAATATAATAAAAGAAAGAAAGAAAGAAATAAAAAATATATGAAAGTTGTTCTAATGTTTTACCAAACTACCAAACCAACAGCTTTCTCTCTCTATATATGTTAGAAATAACTGTTGCTTAACGCCTCTCCCAGGAGCCTCCGCACCAAAACCACACACTTTGCGTTTCTCACTCTTCCCTTCAGACCAAACAGATATTTTCTCTCTTTCTCTCGCTACCACCTCAATGGAGAGTCCCCATTCGCTCTCTCCCTCGTCTTCCTCCTCGTATTCCTCCGACGGAGTCACTTTCGACACGGAGGAGCCGCGGACACCGCTCGCCGTGCGCCGCGCCCTGCAACTCATCAACTCCGGCGAGCCCCACCTCTGCCTTCAAGCCGCTCGTGAAATCCGCCGACTCACCAAGACGTCCCAACGTTGTCGGCGCCAACTTTCTCAGGCTGTCGGTCCACTCGTCTCCATGCTCCGAGTCGACTCGCCCGAGTCACACGAATCCGCTCTCCTCGCCTTGCTCAACCTCGCCGTCAAGGACGAAAAGTACCTCACTACCCTTCCTTTCTTTCCTTTCTAGTCACCCAAAATTAAAAATGGTGGAAAATTCTGACTAATCATATTTTTTATGAAAAAATGAACGAAACCCCTACATAATTGACTAATTAGATTTTTCCCCTCGTGAGATTAATTTACTTGTAGTGGGTTTAATTTTTTTCTTTAATTTATACGGTTTTATGATTAATTTTATGTTAGTTTTGTTTGACACACTTTTTTGATTCTGGGAATTCGTGTGCTTTATGAAACATACGCAATACCTTGAAGCCATCGAGTTGGGATTCGATATTGGAATAAAATATTGTCAATTTGGGATTTGATGTATTTCTATAATCATAATAATAGTATAGTGTTGTATAATAATGGTACCTAGCATATACGGTTTTACACAATGATTCTGATTCTGCTCTTTATTCTGTCTACTAGTTTCCTTCTCTTTTCCTTTTTCTTTATAATTTTTTTGAGCGGGATGGTTGAGTTTTCGTTTTTATATTCTACCTAGATGTTTGTTAGGAAAGATGATGATGACGATGGGTGATTCATGGTATACCATACTTTTATTCTTGGGGGGAGGGAGGGGTAGTTAGTTTCCATCTTTTGACAGAAAATAAGGAAAACCACTTTATCATGCCTTAGAATGCAAGAGTCACATATTTCATTGATTGAACTCTCTACAATATTTTGTTTCTTGAAATTATAAAATGAACCATCAAATTGATATTCACCTTTTATTATTATTCTTATAGAATACTGTTATTATTATTAATTAATCAACTAATTATAATACTTTTGTTAGTGTTTATTTTGCGTGTTGTGAATTCTAGCATGTCGAGTACGTTGCTTTGTGAATGATAATTGCTTTTGTGGCTGTTATGCATGCATGCTAATGCTATGTCACACAAGAAAGAATTGGATGCTTTTTTGTTGTTGAAACTTATCCGATTGCGAGGTGGATTTCCTTTGTTTCACATGGTGCTCTTTCTTTTTTACTTTTGTTTCTTTTCCTTTTTGGATCATGTCTTATTGTGGAAGTAGTCTTTATATCATTTAGTGCTCGTTGCTTAGAGTCAAGTTTCACCTTCTAGCTAAAGGAACAGTTTAATTCCTTTATTTTGCTTTCACTTCTAGTTGCTAACTAAATATTTGCGTAAAGGGTTAAAATATTAGAGAACGATTAGGCTCATCTAGACGAATAATAATGCCATATTTGGTTATCATATACCGAAAATAATTAAATTACCTAACGGGTTAAAAAGGAAAGCCATTGAGCATGCATTGATGACTTCTAGGATATAGAAATGGGAGAATTCTATCTTCTTTGTTATCTTATTTTTCTTCAATGTTTTTAAATTAGTGATTTAACAACCCTGGGCGTAATTTTTATAGAGATGGTTCAGATCTCTGCATTGAACGTGATGTTCAAATGACTTTCTGCCTACTCCTCTCCTCATTGTTTTTGTTCAAGTGAAGTGAGGTTGAAAACGGGAAGGTAAAAGAAGGACTAAAGGGTGAGGTAGAAAGTTTTTATTTTTACTCATTGTTGCTTGGATAGAGGGTAAAAAATCACTTTCATGCTCTAGGAGTAACCAAAATTTGTGGGGTGGAGCGTAAATGAGCTGCACTCCTTTTTCAACCTACCCCCATTTTTGCTATACCAAACAATTGAGAAGTGACTTTCATTCCAAATTCCTACTTCCCCCCATCTTCCACCTATACAAAACAAGCGCACCTAAAATTTCTTGTTTTGGCTCATGTTTTAATACACGATTACTGTCAATTTAGATCCTTTATCTCTTGTTTTTTCCTCTTCCCTGGGACCTTAAGGTAGGTGTTTTGAGCCAGCATCATGGACAAAGATGTGCATGGCAAGAAGTAAATCACCTAATATCTAACCACCACAAGAGGGTGAAACCAGGGGAATCAGATCTTATTCTACTCTTGCTTACATCAGTATTTTTATTGTTTCCACATTGTACCATGACATCGTTAGTCTTCTACATCTAAAGACAAGATTGGGTATGTTCCAGGTTGTGATTGAATATAATGCCATCAACTTAAGAATGAACTCCTGATAATAAAATATATCAGGATTTCAATTTCTTTTTTCTGGTAGATCTGATGTTACATTATATAGCTTGATGAAGTTTTTGCAGTTCATCGTGAACTAAAACATTGGCTTGTTTTCTCTACCCTGTGCTATTTATTTTGTGACTTTACCATTCTACAAGTATCATGTTTAAACTTTTCGTAGATAGTTTTTTTAGTCATAATTCAATCGTATTCATTACTTGAATTGGACTTGCAGGAACAAAATCAATATTGTGGAGGCTGGTGCATTAGAACCGATAGTTAGTTTCCTGAAGTCTCAAAATGTAAATCTGCAGGAGTCTGCAACTGCATCATTGCTCACACTATCTGCCTCTTCGACCAACAAACCAATTATCAGTGCTTGTGGTGCCATTCCTCTTCTTGTAGAGGTCCTTAGAGATGGAAGCCCCCAAGCTAAAGCTGATGCAGTAATGGCTCTTTCTAATTTATCAACTCACCCTACTAATCTCAGTACCATTCTCGAGACAAACCCAATCCCTTTCATAGTTGATCTTCTTAAAACCTGTAAAAAGTCCTCAAAAACAGCTGAAAAATGCTGCGCTTTGATAGAATCCTTGGTGGATTATGACGAGGGCAGAACTGCCCTGACATCTGAGGAAGGCGGGATTCTGGCAGTTGTGGAAGTTCTTGAAAGTGGCACTCTCCAAAGTAGGGAGCATGCTGTTGGAGCACTGTTGACAATGTGCCAAAGCGATCGATGTAAATACCGGGAACCAATTCTAAGAGAAGGTGTCATTCCAGGACTTCTTGAGCTTACTGTTCAAGGGACACCTAAGTCTCAGTCAAAAGCACGCACCCTTTTGCAGTTACTGCGAGAGTCTCCTTATCCGAGATCTGAAATTCAACCTGACACTCTGGAGAATATAGTGTGCAACATCATATCACAGATTGATGGGGATGATCAATCTGGTAAAGCAAAGAAGATGCTGGCTGAGATGGTTCAAGTAAGCATGGAACAAAGTCTGAGACATTTACAACAAAGGGCTCTCGTCTGCACCCCAAGTGATCTTCCTATCGCTGGCTGTGCTTCTGAAGTTTCTTCAAAATGATAGTTGCCGCTGGCCAACTCTGCCTCTTTCTCAGTTTTCTTCACCTTTTTTTGTCTCTGCATTTGGGGTTTGTGAGGTAAATTTCCAGAGTAGAAAACGGAAAAAAAGCCTTGCTCAACCTCGCCGTCAAGGACGAAAAGTACCTCACTACCCTTCCTTTCTTTCCTTTCTAGTCACCCAAAATTAAAAATGGTGGAAAATTCTGACTAATCATATTTTTTATGAAAAAATGAACGAAACCCCTACATAATTGACTAATTAGATTTTTCCCCTCGTGAGATTAATTTACTTGTAGTGGGTTTAATTTTTTTCTTTAATTTATACCGTTTTATGATTAATTTTATGTTAGTTTTGTTTGACACACTTTTTTGATTCTGGGAATTCGTGTGCTTTATGAAACATACGCAATACCTTGAAGCCATCGAGTTGGGATTCGATATTGGAATAAAATATTGTCAATTTGGGATTTGATGTATTTCTATAATCATAATAATAGTATAGTGTTGTATAATAATGGTACCTAGCATATACGGTTTTACACAATGATTCTGATTCTGCTCTTTATTCTGTCTACTAGTTTCCTTCTCTTTTCCTTTTTCTTTATAATTTTTTTGAGCGGGATGGTTGAGTTTTCGTTTTTATATTCTACCTAGATGTTTGTTAGGAAAGATGATGATGACGATGGGTGATTCATGGTATACCATACTTTTATTCTTGGGGGGAGGGAGGGGTAGTTAGTTTCCATCTTTTGACAGAAAATAAGGAAAACCACTTTATCATGCCTTAGAATGCAAGAGTCACGTATTTCAGTGGTTGATTGAACTCTCTACAATATTTTGTTTCTTGAAATTATAAAATGAACCATCAAATTGATATTTACCTTTTATTATTATTCTTATAGAATACTGTTATTATTATTAATTAATCAACTAATTATAATACTTTTGTTAGTGTTTATTTTGCGTGTTGTGAATTCTAGCATGTCGAGTACGTTGCTTTGTGAATGATAATTGCTTTTGTGGCTGTTATGCATGCATGCTAATGCTATGTCACACAAGAAAGAATTGGATGCTTTTTTGTTGTTGAAACTTATCCGATTGCGAGGTGGATTTCCTTTGTTTCACATGGTGCTCTTTCTTTTTTACTTTTGTTTCTTTTCCTTTTTGGATCATGTCTTATTGTGGAAGTAGTCTTTATATCATTTAGTGCTCGTTGCTTAGAATCAAGTTTCACCTTCTAGCTAAAGGAACAGTTTAATTCCTTTATTTTGCTTTCACTTCTAGTTGCTAACTAAATATTTGCGTAAAGGGTTAAAATATTAGAGAACGATTAGGCTCATCTAGACGAATAATAATGCCATATTTGGTTATCATATACCGAAAATAATTAAATTACCTAACGGGTTAAAAAGGAAAGCCATTGAGCATGCATTGATGACTTCTAGGATATAGAAATGGGAGAATTCTATCTTCTTTGTTATCTTATTTTTCTTCAATGTTTTTAAATTAGTGATTTAACAACCATGGGCGTAATTTTTATAGAGATGGTTCAGATCTCTGCATTGAACGTGATGTTCAAATGACTTTCTGCCTACTCCTCTCCTCATTGTTTTTGTTCAAGTGAAGTGAGGTTGAAAACGGGAAGGTAAAAGAAGGACTAAAGGGTGAGGTAGAAAGTTTTTATTTTTACTCATTGTTGCTTGGATAGAGGGTAAAAAATCACTTTCATGCTCTAGGAGTAACCAAAATTTGTGGGGTGGAGCGTAAATGAGCTGCACTCCTTTTTCAACCTACCCCCATTTTTGCTATACCAAACAATTGAGAAGTGACTTTCATTCCAAATTCCTACTTCCCCCCATCTTCCACCTATACAAAACAAGCGCACCTAAAATTTCTTGTTTTGGCTCATGTTTTAATACACGATTACTGTCAATTTAGATCCTTTATCTCTTGTTTTTTCCTCTTCCCTGGGACCTTAAGGTAGGTGTTTTGAGCCAGCATCATGGACAAAGATGTGCATGGCAAGAAGTAAATCACCTAATATCTAACCACCACAAGAGGGTGAAACCAGGGGAATCAGATCTTATTCTACTCTTGCTTACATCAGTATTTTTATTGTTTCCACATTGTACCATGACATCATTAGTCTTCTACATCTAAAGACAAGATTGGGTATGTTCCAGGTTGTGATTGAATATAATGCCATAAACTTAAGAATGAACTCCTGATAATAAAATATATCAGGATTTCAATTTCTTTTTTCTGGTAGATCTGATGTTACATTATATAGCTTGATGAAGATTTTACAGTTCATCGTGAACTAAAACATTGGCTTGTTTTCTCTACCCTGTGCTATTTATTTTGTGACTTTACCATTCTACAAGTATCATGTTTAAACTTTTCGTAGATAGTTTTTTTAGTCATAATTCAATCGTATTCATTACTTGAATTGGACTTGCAGGAACAAAATCAATATTGTGGAGGCTGGTGCATTAGAACCGATAGTTAGTTTCCTAAAGTCTCAAAATGTAAATCTGCAGGAGTCTGCAACTGCATCATTGCTCACACTATCTGCCTCTTCGACCAACAAACCAATTATCAGTGCTTGTGGTGCCATTCCTCTTCTTGTAGAGGTCCTTAGAGATGGAAGCCCCCAAGCTAAAGCTGATGCAGTAATGGCTCTTTCTAATTTATCAACTCACCCTACTAATCTCAGTACCATTCTCGAGACAAACCCAATCCCTTTCATAGTTGATCTTCTTAAAACCTGTAAAAAGTCCTCAAAAACAGCTGAAAAATGCTGCGCTTTGATAGAATCCTTGGTGGATTATGACGAGGGCAGAACTGCCCTGACATCTGAGGAAGGCGGGATTCTGGCAGTTGTGGAAGTTCTTGAAAGTGGCACTCTCCAAAGTAGGGAGCATGCTGTTGGAGCACTGTTGACAATGTGCCAAAGCGATCGATGTAAATACCGGGAACCAATTCTAAGAGAAGGTGTCATTCCAGGACTTCTTGAGCTTACTGTTCAAGGGACACCTAAGTCTCAGTCAAAAGCACGCACCCTTTTGCAGTTACTGCGAGAGTCTCCTTATCCGAGATCTGAAATTCAACCTGACACTCTGGAGAATATAGTGTGCAACATCATATCACAGATTGATGGGGATGATCAATCTGGTAAAGCAAAGAAGATGCTGGCTGAGATGGTTCAAGTAAGCATGGAACAAAGTCTGAGACATTTACAACAAAGGGCTCTCGTCTGCACCCCAAGTGATCTTCCTATCGCTGGCTGTGCTTCTGAAGTTTCTTCAAAATGATAGTTGCCGCTGGCCAACTCTGCCTCTTTCTCAGTTTTCTTCACCTTTTTTTGTCTCTGCATTTGGGGTTTGTGAGGTAAATTTCCAGAGTAGAAAACGGAAAAAAATAAGGAATAATACATAGTGAAGAATTATGCCAGTCCAGGCCATTGTGGAGGTATCGAGTGACTGGTAATTGTCAATAAACTAAGTTGTCAGTGGTAAAGGTCATGATTTTGTAGTTGGTTTGTAAAGAAACTGCTGTATAAAATGACATACAAGTGGTAAAAAGCTCCTTGTCCAAAATTCTTCTCCTTCTCCATTTCTGCAATGACTTAGTGTTTGTGTTTGCTCTACCCATTATAATCGTGCAAACAAATTCGGATCCACCACTAACAAGTCCCTGGAGTTCTAATGAGAAAAACAAACATGCTCTTATTCACCAGTATGTTTACTGTTTAACACCATTTCAATTTGCTGGAATATTTATCACTCGGCCAAAATTGTAACATTCAAATTGATTTTTATCATTATAATTGCTAGCTAAAACATAGATGTAGCTTGTACGTGTATTCATTTTCTATCATGCAATGTTATCTTAATAAATTAAAGTTAATATTTAAACTAATTTTGATTTTGTATATTTTTAAAATAAAAGGTTTGAATTGTTAAAATTTAAAACAACACAATATATATGACAGTGGATCTCACTTGGTAGATTAGAAAGGAAGTATAAAATTAGAAAAACCAAGAGAGGTTTTTTAAGACATATTTAAGGAAATTTCTTCGAAATAGAAAATGAAAATAAAATGTTGCATAAAAGAGTGAGAAAATGGGCCGGCGGACAAACCGACCAAGTGATGAAATGTTCCCCAGTATTGGTTTGGCTGCTTTTCTAGCACATACTTCAAATCCAAGTTCGACACGTTTGCAAAACTTCAGTCAAAATTTTAATAATAAAGCCCTAAAGTTCATACCTTTTTATTTAACAAAAACAGTATTAAGTTGGAAAAAGGCATTCCATTTATCTCTTAAGACCAATCATTAGTTATGTTATACTCTTATAAAATACGATGTATCTCAAATGTAATATAATTATACTTTTAAAAATAAAACACTAATTTATGAATTTTTTAAACGTAGAGACCTAGTTAAACAAATAGTTATAGAATAAGAACTTTCTGAATTTGAATTAGAAGAATTTCATCTCATCTAGTAAATAAGTATTGAAAGTTTTTATTAAATAAATTCATTTAGGGAGACCAAACTTGTTTAATAACTCAAACCACCATAAACTATTTTGAATTTTATAAAATGAATTTCAATTCATTCAACTATCAAAACTTTGAAAAACTTATTAACAAGACTCGCTCAAGGGTAAAGAGATCGAAAGTCTATAAATTTTAAAATCTTAAATTTTGTATTGGAGTAAATAGGTTATCTAATTAGTATCATGATTCAAAAAATTGGATAAATATCAGTTTGTTTGGTTGAGTTCAATTAGTATTTTTATGTTATATTTTAATTCTAAATATGATATCATAAACCAATTTAATGAAACACAAACAATTTGTTTCTCAATCATATACTAATGTCTTAATTAACATATCACATCAATGTTCCAATTTCACATACCTTAAAATCAACCAAACACATAATCACACAAATATAATTATTATAACATCCTTACAATTACATCATTTTAACTTATAGTACTAATAGAAAATAAGTTAGTCTATCTAAATCAAATTCTGATTCAATTAAACTTCAAATACTCAAACTCGATATCATATTTATACATAAAAAAATTCAAATTAACAATATGAACATCTTCTAATAATTATAAATAAATAAATATTCATCTTAAACTATTTTGAATAATTAAAAAAATTACTAAAAAAATTACTTTAATATGCTAAAATTACTTTCTTCTATGTCATAATTATAACAATCTTTAGTCATGAACATAATAAAAAAATTAGAAAAAAGCAAAAACAAAAAAAATTATAAATATTTATCTTTATAAAATAAAACTCGACTAAATAAATCTATAAAATTATATTTTAATAAAAAAGTATTCAAACACTAAATATAAAAACTTTTACTTATAATTAATTTTTAAGTGCTTCTATGTTAACACCAGTTCACTTACCTACACATGTTCCACTTTCTTTTTCTTTCATAAGATAATTCTTTTTTTTTTCTTCCTTTCTTTGTTTACCAATGGCCTATAATTTATATTTATATATTTATTTATTTTCGTTTTTACTAACTAATTTGCATTCAATTTTCCTGTAACAAGGCCTTAAAGAGGAGAGAAATGGAGGATTGAAACAAGACAGTTAGGAAAAGAGGAAACTAAGGAAAAAAATTGATTGATTTGTGAGTATGATTGATTCATAATTGAGGGTTGGGTTTTTCATTGGTCATGTTCTGAGCGGGCCTTCTTCCCAAAACACGTACGCATTGAATTCCGTGGCGACGCGCAGACCTCACTTCAGTGTGTAGTCATTGGCGTGGACTCTTAGACACTTTCTTAATCGCGAGTGCCCAACCCTAACTCATCACTTACACGCACACACAACATACTCAGCTCATACTGAAGAAACATCCCTATTGTATTAGTAGAAGAGGAGCGAGCATTAATTATTGATCGCTGAAATGGGAGATCAAGAAGAGAGATTAGGGTCGGAGGGTTTGGATTCCGGCCCCGTCGTCAAGACCGATGACTTGTGCATGGAAATTGATCCGCCATTTCAGGAAAACATCGCCACCGCTGAGGACTGGCGGAAAGCGCTTAACAGAGTTGTCCCCGCAGTCGTCGTCCTTCGCACCACCGCCACTCGCTCCTTCGACACCGAGTCCGCCGCCGCCAGCTACGCCACCGGCTTCATCGTGGACAAGAGCCGCGGCATCATTCTCACTAATCGCCACGTGGTCAAGCCAGGTAGTTAGTTAACCTCGTCGCTCTTGCTTTTTGTTCTTTTTGTTGAATTCTATTCGCGGTGACGATCTCTCTATTTCGAATCCGTAGGTCCCGTGGTTGCCGAAGCCATGTTTCTGAATCGCGAGGAGGTTCCAGTGCATCCGATTTACAGAGATCCGGTTAGTGAGTTCTGTTTCGGTTTTGATTTCTGAATGTAATGTGGTCAACGGTTTATATACTGGTGATCTAGCTGAATCCCGTCTTTCGTTCTGTTATTATTTTTGGTCATTTATCCATGCACTCTGCTTTGTATAAACTTCTGTTCACTGTGGACTATGAAGACATGGGAATCGTGTGTAACTGTTAGGCACGTTCAAAATCACTACCGTTATAGGTTTTCAATAAGTCTTTATAATACGAAAACACGTTCATACGTTCATATTGTTATTACCTGCTTGAGGAGGATCAAGATATTATTGCTGTTGAAAAGAAGATTGTTTTATCAACTCAAGACACCTTTATTGTTATGGTTGAACTGATCATTTTTCATGTTAAATTATGAAACGGTGAACTGATTCCCCTGCTGTGTTTATTGTCAGCATTTTTTTGTTTGTTTTTGTAAGTATGTGTTACAAAGTTCGTTTTTTAATCTGTATTACTTTGTTCAGTTGTTTAAATTTCATAGATAATTATTGTGGTCCTCATAGTTCTTCTATGTGCGTGTCTGTGTATTTTTTTGAATAATTAGTTCTTTCCTATAATTAATTTATAATCACTTTCTCTCTATGCTTGTTGATGCCACCAACTAAATATATACTTATATGTAGGTACATGATTTTGGGTTCTTTCGTTATGATCCCGGTGCTATACAATTTTTAAACTATGAAGAGATACCTCTTGCTCCTGAAGCTGCCTGTGTTGGACTAGAAATCAGAGTCGTTGGTAATGATAGTGGAGAGAAGGTATTACCTTAAATTTACCTCAAATCCACTTATTTCCCTCCCGCACCCCTCCTTCCCTGTACTTTGTCTTGCATTTTTCTGTTCTTTTAATTGACTCTTGTAGGACAAAGCTACATGATTTCCATGCTTATAACAATACACGTCATATGGCTAGCAAGTGATGCTTTTCTTTAGAAGCTGACCAACTCAATAGAACATTGTTGGATAAAGAATAAAGATATATGCTGAGATTTTTTTTTCTTTTGGTTTCTAATCATGGTCAGTTAGTTTTCAACATATGTTCTGGTCCAGCTACATCCATTTGTTTTCTTCTGAAAGGCCTTTGGTTTCTAAAATCAACTTATTTATCAACTTTTGGCAGTCTTTCGTGTTTAAGCCTGTTCATAATTGCCACTTGTTTTGTATTGATGTAAAGGAATGGTGTGTTCTAATATTATATCTTCAATCCTTTTCTTCCCATAAACTTTGTATAATTATTTTGGCTTTTGCTTTCAGGTTTCCATTTTGGCTGGTACTCTTGCTCGTTTGGATAGGGATGCTCCTCATTATAAGAAGTATGTTGTAGAGTGTCTGTAACTTTTTTTTGTGCTCTTTATGTGGACAGGTCGAATTTAGATAATGGAACTATTATTTTATGCAGGGATGGGTATAATGACTTCAACACATTCTATATGCAAGTAAGTGGGAACAAATATTGTTTATACCATTTATATTAAAATTCTAAGTTGTGAGTTTGTTTATGTTATTTCCTTTTCCCTTCAAATTTTACTATCGTTTAATTTCCTTAAAATTTTAGTATCTTTCTAGTTGCTTCCCAGGTTTCATTTCAAGTGTTCAGGTGCCTTATAATATATCCAATGGCATGCTAACTTTTCTTTCTCAGCGTTTTTAATTACTCAGAAAGGAAAAACTGCATAACTGAAAGCAGGATTTATTACTAAAAGTGCTAGGAAAGGAAAATTAACCTCAAGGGGATCATTTTGTGCCTCCATTTGGCAACTTATTTCATGGATAGAGTGATTTGTATGGAGTGGTTTTGAAGTCTTTTGTAGATGTAATTTACCATTACAAAATATGGTATTCTTGTCTTGTTTTTGCTGAATACTTATTTGCAACCTTATATCTACTGATTTTTTCATTTCAGGCAGCTTCTGGGACCAAAGGAGGGTCAAGTGGTTCCCCAGTTATAGATTGGCAAGGCAGGGCAGTGGCTCTAAATGCTGGGAGCAAGTCATCAAGTGCATCGGCTTTCTTTCTACCTCTAGAACGAGTGAGTTTTTTATATTTGAACTTGTTTTATGCTTGTTGTAATAATCAAGGGAAGTTCAGTTCCTCTTGTTGGGACCGGGACCAATTAATTCAATTGCATTTCAGGTTGTGAGGGCCTTAAGGTTTATTCAAAAGGGAAGTGAAACTTATGT